TGTAAAGCAAACATCGTTGTTTAAGGATGCTGAGTTAGCATCCATAAGTCGCGCGTGTGATGACAGTGGCGCTGCGTTCTAAATATTGTGCGAAAATTAGTAGCTTTCATAAGCGTCTCATTTGAAAACGCCCTAATTAAATATCTAAGTATGGCTTTAGTTCCGACAGGATAAGATAATTTTCGCCTGATGATGAAGTAAACGAAGCGTGTTGGGCAGTAATCAACATATACAACAACATTATTTCTTCCCACAGTCGGTAGTAAAGCATTCGTATCGTGTACATACTAATTATTTTCTCGTCTTCAACAGACACGACCTGTTTTCGTGGCTAGATCCGACAAAAGTCTTGTCGAGTACAAGACCATTCTCATATTTTCTGTAGCAGACACGACGAATTTTTTAGCGTGTTTCAATGGTTTACCTATCGCCTCTCAAGCAGAGGAGTGTCGTGGTATCGAATCCGGGCTTGCACCTTTGACTTTAGGGAATTTATGTGCGAAATGAATTTGAAATTTACGATGAGCTTTTCGGTGAAGGAAAACATTTTGAGGAAACTAGCATACATCTGCAAAGCATTTTTTTAATGATTTGTGTAAAGCTCCAAATCCACATTACAGCTCAAGAGCTCTCATGATGTGAAAGGACGCCTGTGAGAATTATTCACTATTATGATGAATTTTTTTTAGTATTTAAGAGAACTGACCTTTTCCACGCGATTGGAAGAGACGGACGAATTCCTCACAGGTTATGAGAACGTGAAGCTTTTGGCCAAACTACACGGTCATTCGCCAAAAGCTGCTGAACAACTCGCGTTATTGTATTTGCAGTATATGGGTAAGTTCTGTGTCAAACAATGTAACATAACCAACTCATGGTTTCCCGTACGTACTTAAAGAGTTTTCTAAATGTTCTTCGATATCTACTTAGACAACATCGCATAAGTTGCTCTGATCCCAAATTAAGTAGCTAAAGCACTTGTGTTATGGAAATAGGAAACAAAGACGGTACCGCAAACACCCAGATCCGAGACAATATAGAAAAGTTACTTTCTATACTGACCCGTTCGGGGATCGAACCCGGGACCTCAGAGATGGCGACACCATGAAAACCGGTATGCAAAGCGATGCCACGCGATGCATTTCATCGGCGTTGCGACCCTGGAGCGGTGATGCGTTGTACTACATAATATATTAAAACTCCATGCCACATGGTGCGTTCGGGTAGGAGCCGGGAAATAAAGCGGGGAGGGGTGCTGCGATATGTTAGGGCGATGCCGCACGGGCGTTGTGTCGTCGCTACGCTATGATTTCAATGTAATAAGTTGCTTGCGGAGGCGCGTCGTTTCAACGCAATGTGTGGCGTGTTATTCTAATTTATAATGCTGCCTCCGTGGCCGAACGGTTACCATGCCGGACTGCCACGCGGAGGTCCCAGGTGCGAGGCCCGGGCCAGGAGAAATGTTTCTTTCTGTCGTGAGTTTGGATGTAATTTGTGGTTATGATATCTAGTTATGTGTGTCCATGGCACCACGACACAATTCCCTAGTGCGGGGCTATGTTGAGTGTGTGCGATATTATTATTATTATTGTTAATAACTCGAGTTATGTATATTGTAAGTACACGCAACATCGTCATCACAACGCCAATGCAACGCCCGTGTGGCATCGCTCTTACACTGTGTTAGTTAATATATGACAGGATGAAGAAAACGTGCGCCTGCTGGTAAGCGTAATGCCTAACCGTAACAGTTACAGTGTCACTCTCAGGGAAGTTAAAAAATAATAACATTTTTACATAACATTTACGAAAATTACTACTTTACTTTATTTATTACTTACTTTGGTATTTTTTTATGAAATACAGTGACAAAAATAACATTCATGAGAAATAAAAAAAACTGGCAGTTCTTGACAGTCACATGTTCATAAAGTCACAAATTTATTTGACTTCACTCAGATTTTTGCAATTTGCTTAGGATTGCAACTGCTATAGACAAGCATGTCGCTTTTTCGCGGTTACTTCCATAGTATAATGCCCTTACTTCAATATTATAATGTCCTATGGGATTCTCATGTGGGGTAAAGCGGTTATCTACCGCTTTACCATATTTGTGTTGCAAAAACGAGCTATTCGTTTTGTGTCCCGTTTAGTTTCTTGGGTTTCTCTCAGAGAAAAGTTTAAGGAGACTGGTATCATGACTGTGGCATCACAGTACATTTACTCAAATATGTTGTTTACGTAGATAAAGAAGTATGGAAAGACAAAAAGAGTCTAGATTCCACACAATTAGGATTCAAAGTGTATTCCATAGCATTTAAGTTTATTTGAAAAGAGCAATCTGCCAGAAAAAAAGTATTGATACTTATTAATTTGTAGGACTTCAAATGTACACGCACGTCCGAGTGTCGTCGTACACTCCGGGCTGCGCGCGGCGCCTAGGTTTAGCGGGTGTGCTAGCCACAGCATCTCGCCTCGTCCTGCTGGACTCGCCCACTGCCAACGTCGACACGTACATGCGCCCACTCATTTCCAGAGCCATACAGCGTCTGAAAGAACGCAATTGTATTGTAATTATGGCTGAACATAGGTACGTATCTCTCGACATTTTTAATGTGAAAACTCAACGGCTATATAAATCATTAATTAATTCTCAACATTTAAAACTTTATTAGATGTAAGTATTTAACGCAAATACCATTCTTAATAAACACTTATGTTCTGACACTTATTATCCGATATTCTCGCAAAGTAATAGAAGTATTTTTTTTATAACAAAGTGCCGGGACGAACAAATCGTGTGCCTTGGTAAGCTACACGCCGGTCCATAACAGTTGCAGTGCCACTCAGAGCTTTAAATCGCAAAGATCTGAGGGGCACTGCTACTACGTCCGTCACCCTGAGACATAAGCTGACAAGTCCCATGTGCCTCTAATTTCACCTGCACCTAGTTCCTAAGTTTAAAAACTACATTAAAAATATTTTGATTAAAAAGTCATATTACGAAATTGAAGACTACGTACGTATTAGATAAAGATGTATGGAAAGAGGACATGGTTCTGGATTCCAGTCAAATTTAATTCAAAGTGTGTTCCATAGCGTTTAGTTTTATTTGAAAAGAGCAATCCCTAGAGTTTCTTGCTCGTTCTTCTCAGGGAGGTCAGCGTAGTGAACGAGCAGTAGCTTAAATGTGACGTTTTCAAGTGTAAATTTATTTTACATATGGAATAAATGAATCTTTAACTTTATATAAATACGCGGAATTAAACCCGCCTCGGTTCCGCCCGACCCGCGCCCGACTCGTATCCGCTCTTGTGTGTTTCTCGCTTTACTGCAGGTTCTTGGCCTTACGGTAGACATTTTTTGTGTTAATTCCAGTATGCCATGGCGTGAAACGGAGCAGATATGCTCACGGCTTGCATTAATAGTTCGAGGGCAGTTCGTAGCTATAGAATCTGTATACCGGTTGCGGACCAAATTCGCCTCGGGTTTCATCGCCACTATCAAGCTGAAAATCGATTCCGCCTACTTCGTTTTTGGTTTGTATGGCTATATTATTTTCCGCTTACGCATACAACATTGCAACGGTTCCGGGCGTTAAAACAAAAGTCAGCCTCAAATTACTAATGAATGTAAAATAATAAGTAAATTCACAGGGTTATTTTGTTCTTAGGTTTTCGCGATTTTTACACAAAAGTGAAAAAAAAACTATTTTTCCGCATTAAAAAAATAAATACGTACGTGATTTAAATCCGGATAAATGGTTTTATTTCCTGTAAAATGTTAACAACCTTCCAGGTTTATATTACTAACGTCATAAACAACAATTTTGTTCCATAACTTTTTATAAAATATAATAAATTAACCAATATCTTTTTTTATTAAAAAAACAGACCTCAAAAGTTTACTTATCGGCTTTTTTATTGAAATTACATCATCTATTTCCCAAGTTTATTGGAATCGCTTAAAGTGCGTGAAACCGGATTTATACCCTACCCTTAGGGCGCAATTATTCGACACGAATTTCATTGTGCTCACTCGATCGAGCGTAGACCGCAATGCCGCCGCGCAGCGACCGCGTGCGCCTAACTGTCATATGTCATGGCAAAATACGCTCTATATATTTTGTTTTTACGTTTTAACTTAAACGAGCATCCCGGGAATGCGGGCGAGTGTGGCTTGAATTTGTAGTCAACGCGGGACCGCGCGACGACCGTGCTGTGGTATTATTCAGAGGAATTTAAATGTTGTTGCCTAGTAAATAGAATTCAGATTCGCCATTAATGCACACGAAGGGGTGGTCGCCGCGCGAGGGCCGCGCGAAATCGTTCGCCTCGTGTAACTGGGCGCCTAAAGGTGGAATATATTCTTCAAATTTAAATGGGACTTTTCTACACGTTTGGTCAAAACTTGGACGTAGATGGCATCCACAATCTGCTATGTAAATCTTTAACCGAAACCACAAATAAGCATCTAGGCGGAGTCCGAAAAAAGAGTAAAAAGTTGTCATCAGGAACTATAGAACTAATAAACAATAGGAGTCTGCTATGTAAAAATGTTAGAGATAAGATATAATTAGAATAGATAATAAAAAATAATAATAAGGCAATACGTAATGATATCAGAAAATATAATACTAATATATTATTAACACTATTAAGACATATAAAGGACCAAAAGTTTTTAGAAAGAAGACAAGCACAGATTCTAAGCAAATTATGAAACTTAAGGATATTGATGGAAATATAGTGACGGATAGAGCTAAACTTTTATGTATTGTAGAAAAATATTACTGTGAACTTTACACATCTATTTTAAATGAACCCGATCTGTCAGGGGGTGAAGTCAGAACCCCTCCAACTAAAAGATAAAACCGGAGGCTTTACCTCAAATATTCTCAAATAGTACGAAGTTGCTAAAGCTCTTTATTACATGAAGGCAGAAAAGTCTCCTGGCGAGGACGGGATCACAGTTGAACATGTCTGTGTTGGGGGAAGCAAGAACTCTCGGTCCTTAATAATCTTTTTAACAAAGTCTTACCAGAAACTCGAACACCAAGTCAATGGAAGAACGCGTTATTCACAATTTTGCATAAAAAAGGGGATATTGCGAAATTGAGTAACTACCGCCCTATTAGTTTATTGTTCCAAATTTACAAACTGTTTTCAAAATTAATAACAAATCGCGTCACTCGTTAACTTGATGAATGCCAGCCCATCGCACAGGTCGGTTTTCGAAGTGGCTTATCCACCATTGCCCACATCCACGCGGTGAAGCACTTGATGGAGAAGTGTCACGAGTACAACCGAGCCCTTGCCATGGTCTTCGTTGATTATGAAAAGGCCTTCGACAGTGTCGAACATTGGACCGTGTTCCACGCTCTCCACCGCTGTAACATCGACTCTCGCTATATATATGTACTTCGGGAGCTGTACTCATCTGCAACTCTACAGGTTCGAATGCATGAACTAACCGACCCTGTACCAATCAAAAGGCAAGTGCGACAGGGAGACATCATTTCGCTAAAACTGTTTACTGCTGTCCTAGAAGATGTAGTAAAAACACTTAATTGGACCAAATGTGGCGTTAAAATTAATGGAGTCTTCCTGTCCCACTTACGGTTTGCAGACGACCTAGTACTCTTCGCTGAAAACTTCAACTATCTCTAGCGTATGCTGCAACAACTGTATGACGCTTCTATGTGGGTTGGCCTCGAGATGAATATGTCCAAGACTAAGGTTATGGCGAACATCTCCAACGTCACAAATCCAAGTGTTACAGTTGGAAGTGAGATGTTGAAGATTGTCGATCAATAAATACGTTTATCTCGGACATATTTTATCTTTTGGCAAGGAGCATCAAATGAAGGAGGTCACTAGAAGAATTCTGCTTCGGTGGGCCGCGCTTGGCAAGTTGGACGACATTCTTAAGTCAGCTAAAATTCCTCAATGTCTGAAGATTCGTCTATATAATCAGTATGTTCTGCCTACTTTGTCTTACGGTGCCGAGACATGGATGCTCACGCCGGAGGCTGTGTATAGGATGAGAGTTGCATAGAGAGCCCTGGAGCGTGCCAGGCTCGGTATTAAGCTTATAGACCGTGTTCCCAATGTCCAGATTAGAGGTCAAACAAAGGTAAAGGACGTGACATAACTGAGTGGCGTCCAAGGGCTGGATACAGGAACGTCGGGTGTCCAATGGCGAGATGGGCGGATCACATCGCAGGAATTGGGCGAACCTGGATGAGATTAGCACGGGATCGTGGGGAGTGGTACAGAAACTTGGAGGCCTATACCCATCAGTAGGCGAAGTCAGGCTGTATGGGATATACGAATACAGAGGTACCCAACAAAAAAAAAATCACCAAAATCGGTTCACAAATGTCGGAATAATTGCGTAACATTCACAATAAATATACCTCCTCCTTTTTTGAGGTCGGTTAAAAAGAAACCTTAAGTTATGTTGTACTGTCTGACCTTTTTACATCTGCATTTGGTAATGAAGTAATAACTCCAAACGTGAAAGCGTCCTCCCCGATGACCCTTAACCCCGCTCCTGCATTTTGCATAGGACTGGTAGCGCTAGCGCTGTCTTTTATTATCACACAGTCGGACGGGAAAATCATAACATATCTTTCTCTTAGGTGACGAAAACGAAACAGAAACAAACACGTTGAGCAATACGTCAGATGTAGCAGCCACAGGTGCGTCAATCGTTAAGAGGGAGTTTATGGAGATATTTCCCACCAGCAAACTTAAGGACGAACACCTGGTAAGTACAAGATCATGACAAGAAATTAGCCTGTTGCTGTTGATTTCTGATATGTCACCTGATAGGTACTACAACAGTTTTCGTCATTTGCGACGGGAAGGCTGCTAACAGATTGACTGCATGTTTGCAGTTAATGCGTGAAGACCTAATAACTTCTCATGCAGTCGAGGTCTCGGCTGCATGAAGTTGATTACGGAAAGCTGCAATTTGTCAAAGTTACTCTAATTTCTAGTGATAACAGTCAAATCAACTAGATTTTTACATTTATTATGTAATGTTTATTTTTACGATGGTTTATTCTCAAATGTCTCTGATGGAACAACAACGCAGGTACAGATTGCAAAAAAAAACACATATGACTCTTCTGTATTCTAATTTACAACTTTATTTGACTTTGTGTAAGTACAAGCGAGCGGTCGATAGATGACGTATGAAATTGTTATTACTGCTTAGAGGTCAAATCGTCAAAGTCATTCGCGAGTATTCAAACCAGGGTATATCGGACGGATGTCGGACGGAGATCGAAAGTAGACCCCCTGGTTTCTAATTTTAACGGCCCCGTGCTAGATACAATGTTTTTCATCACATTTGCGAGGAGATACCTAGACAAAACGATAATTTATTTCTTGTATGAATAAATATCGCTACACAACCAACATTTACGGATGGAAAATGGCGAGTTTTTGCCTTTTTAGGCAGATTGCGAGCTATTCTTCCTTAATAATACAACTCGTACTAAAATGTTATAAAAGACACATACGCATGCAGCCACTATCTATTAGATATAAACTAAATAATTTCCTGATTCTAAAAATGCTGCAGTATTTGAAATCACAAAATTAATTTAGTAAAATACAGTTAAATTGCAAATGTCTATTTTTTTTAAATACTTCAAGTTTATGCGAAATCATCGAGTATATAACCAGAAATAGAGACAAAATAAGCGCCATCCATCCCTGGCAACTCATCAGGCAAATGGGCCTCATATCACTTCTAAATATCAACTCTCGTTTGCGCTGAAATCGCAAATTAGAAAGCTGAAATAGTACAGCTCCAACAACTGACCTGTGTGTACGTCTCCGTATATTCCACAAATATTATATATTTCTTGTAATAAAGATAACAATGTAGGTCTGTTCCATTCGGTGGTGTGGAAAAAACAGCAAAACACCTAATTACAAAACAAACGCAATCACATTTCATGGGTATGTGGTTGTTCAATATTCGTCCATTATAGCAAAGCTCAAGTTAAACTGGTCGATTTGAAGTGAAACAAATAACAACACCTGTCAATTGTTTTGAATTCGGGGTGGCCAATCGGAGCGCAGTTGACACCGTTATGATTTGGTAGAATAGTTTTCAAACAAATTAAATGACATTTCATCTCTATCTTTGGTTATATACTCGACGTGCGAAATATACGTTAAGTTTATTTGAGCATAGAAACATTTTGCTTTATCTCGACTTAAAAAATCCAGGTGAATGTGCATAAATTAGGAAATTACGATCGACTTTGCCTCCTTTGTTTTTTTCCACTCTCTAAGCTTTGCCTGCTTGTCATGACACTGCTTACGATCAAGTGTGATGAAAAAAAAAATAACACCGCTTCATTTTGGTTTCAGTCGATGCTCTACTTTCGTATAGAAGACGAAAATAATTCCTTATTATATAGCGAAATGTTTATGAAACTGGAACAGCTAAGAGCTAAGTTCAGCGACATTATCGAAGATTACACTCTTAGCCAAACATCAATCGAGCAAGTTATTGAAACTCTCGCTTCGGAACAATAAGTCATTAATGCGACTGAGAAATGAAGAGCTGGTCACAAACGCTAAAATCAAAAACATCGAAAGACCGTTTAAAAGATAGTGAGATTTACTCGTATGGATCGTAGGGTTGCGTCATTTATGACGTCTCCCATTGTTACGAGAGGCTCTGACGCTGTAATATGCACAAAATCTTAAGGCATACCGCCGGGTATTTGTTTGCAGTTTCGCGGCTGAAGCGAATTCACAATACTCGTCGGCAGTATCTTTTGTTTTGTGAAATTGGTTTCTGTCTGATTACACACAGCACCATAACAACAACGGCACTGCCGCCACTGCAGTGCTGCAGTTGTAGTTGCCATTGCATTTATTCATACTTTTTGGCGGGCGGCGAGCGCTGCCGCGATTGTCTTCCAAGTTGAGTTGTTTTAAACTTTAGTTAATTATATTTTTGAAATTAATTATGACTGCAACTTTAGAATTGTTCATTATTATTATCTTAATTGTAGACTAAATAAAGTGCTTGTAATACAACAGGTGTTTTTTTTATAGTTTGCGAATTTGTTACGTGATACACACGCAAGTGCACGCACCAACGTGCGCACAGAATCGAAACTGTACAAAGATGGGATTTCTTTTTCTCAATCATTACATTTTTTGAGGAGGTAACATGGAACTTAAATTTGAAGTAAGATTAAGAATGAATACTTAGTCTTCACAATATATAACTTGGTATTCATAACGTCACTCTCATTTTTTTCACGTCAAGAAATTCTCATGGATATCCTCCGCCCGAGGGTTATGTCGGACTCCTAAGGGCTAAAACCTGACGGTGTTCCATCTTCTCACCAAATACTGGAGTCACGGGGCGCTTTCGCATTCTTCCGGGACTCCGACGATGAGTGGTTCGACTGGGCGCCGATCTCGCTTTCCGGGGAGAATTGTTACCTCCCCGTTAGCGTCAGTTTAAGAGGCAGACGTGGAACACGTACGCCGCTATCTCGGGCCCACAAGTGACGAGTGATATTCTAAGAGCCTTATCACGCTGGCGATTTGAAAGCGATGCGATCGAGCGAGCCCTTCATAAAGTGTTGGTGTCCAAGTTGCTAAGCAGGACTACAAAGTTTCGTAACTACAAAACAGTAGTTAGGCCTCTAGGATCTTAATGTATCGTTGTGAAACACGGACACTAACGCTGAAGGAAGAACATAAATTATTAATGTCGGAACGGAAGATATTTCTACCAATCAAAGGAGAATTTGGGGACTGCAGGGTCAGATTAAATAGAGAGATAAAATCTGCCCGACTTCGGTGGCTAGGTTCATATGGAAAGAATGGGAGAGGATTGAGCTACCAAAAGAGCGTATTTAGGGTCCTGTGGGCCGTCCAAGATATCGTTGGAAGGATTGAGTTGCCAAAGACATAAAGGAGCTGAATGTGTCCGAATGGTCGGAATTCGCCGACAGAAATGGCGCACTCTGGTGTCAGAGGCCAAGATCCACATTTACTTCGCTGAGCCAGCGAAGTAAATACGTAAATACAATTGACATAAAGTTCAAAATGTTATGTATAATTTCGCCTTTCACTTTCATTCCGTTCCGCCGCGAAGTAAATTGAATCTTTTAATGGGTAGTGTTCCCTTTTAAAAGCTCTGTCATTCGTTTTCTTCAGTTAGGGTCGAAACACAAAACTGCGATCCGACGTCGCATTGCAGAAATCTACGATACAAGCTCGCATGATGCATCGCAAGGAGTGGTTACCCGAACCGTGGCAGCATCCATAATATTAACCTTAGATCTAAGTCCAAGCTCATGGTAGCACGATTTCGTTTAACCAAGGTAAACAACTCTTTTATGGGGAACTGTATACGTTTTTACAATACATAGCCCCGTACTAGGGCAACCCTGTGTCGCGGGTGCCATGGACACACACATAGACTACCACAAATTACACCCAAACTCACGAGAGAAATAAATGTGCTTAAATTCTCTTTGCGTGGCAGTGAGAAGCCTTCTCGCACGAAATCGCAGTTTTCTGCGTTCCAAATTCGCATCGCGCCTATTCGCAGTTTTGTGTTTCGACCCTTAGGTATTACAAAAATGTCGAATTAGGCAACGAGTGAGGAGTGGGACAATATACTGGTGTCTCGTGCCGATATTACTTATCTTAGTAGTAATAGTCTTGCTTGACCATATAGATACATATATTACTACCTTGACCATATAGACCATATAGATGCATAAATTAACATTATTTATTTAACGTCACGAACGTCAAGGTGAATATGTTCGCAAAGAAAAAAATAGAAATATTTACAGAAATAAACAATCAAAGAGACTTTGATAAAACACTCAAGGAGAACAAGAAGAAACTTGTATGTAAGTTTTTTGTGTGCTCGTACTGTCCCACTATTGCATAAAGCCCCCCATTTCTTTATGTTTTTACCTGACTGCGGGAGGGTTATGTTTTTGAATGTATGTATGTCTATTTCGTTTTGACGCTGTACTGTACAGCCTAAACGGCTTGATAGATTTTGACATATGAGGTGTCGGTAGATTCGTCTTGATTATGGAAGTGTCATATACTATAAAGAATAATAAAAATAGTGAGGGGGAATTTCGTTTTTTAATCTTTTCAGCTAAATATTTTTGCAGTCGGGTTTTTATTTTTTGAAATAATTTTTAGACTCGTTTTATGTGTGCTTGTACTGCCCCACTGGGTATTGCATATTGGCCCCCATTTTTTTATGTTTTTTATGTGTGCTCGTACTGCCCCACTATTGCATAAAGGCCCCCATTTTTTATGTTTTTATAAGCTTTAAGAGACACACAGCCAGTAAATATTAGCACACGTTTACAAATTCAGCGGCGGCGTAAGCGCGTGCTCGTGAAATGCGCCTCATCCGCGCGTATAAAATATTATGTCGTGTGCATAAGCGCTAGATGGCGGCAGAGCGGCCAAAACATTTCGGCGTTTCAGATCAAAATATTAGAGACGCGTCCTTAGGTTCCTTTTTCCTCGTACTGAGCGCCTGGTATCGTTAGTCAGATTTAGTAGACTAATTATAGCGTAGATATTTTCTATTTTGTATGAGCGTAGTAACTACTAAGTAATCTTTGCTACCGTACACAGTTCTTAGGCGCACGACCTGTTCGTGCCGTCACTTGATATTATAAAATAAAGCTATTTTACACGATTAAACCGTCACTAACAAAACCGTTACTAACAAAATTAATAAATTTCCATTTTTATTAACATGGACTTCCGCAAAGTTACGTCAAGAAATGATAAACCTCTACAGAGACACCAACAGGGCTCTAAGAGAAGTCGGAAGATACATACATATCTACAGGCCACAACCCTAGGCCAAGGTCACAGAATTAGGCTTGTAGGCATAACTTAAACATAATGTGACAACCTTACGCTCCGACGGATGTGTAGGCATTGACGAGTTGAACAGGGGGAAGTTACATAACTAGTCTTTTTGTAACTACGTCGGAGAGCTGCCTGTGGAGAAACTTGTAGCATCTTGTAATTCCCTGTGAATGAACTTTTCTAAATTACTTATGATCAGTGTGTTTCGGGTAGTTCCCCGGATTGATTTTAGTTACTTGATACTCATAATACAGGGTCTTGTTTGACTGCCTTTTAACTGCCTCCGTGGCCGAACGGTTACCATGCCGGACTGCCATGCAGAGGACCTTGGTTCGATTCCCAGACTGAAACGTTAACTAATTTTAACTGCTTTTAAAAGCTAATGTTGTGCTCTTTCTTTTTCTATTTAAAACAGTTATTTGACAATTTGTCACTTAGCAACGTTATCGTTAGTGGACGGCAGTTATGTACTCTAAATTACGCTTTCTTCGTCTTCAAAAAATATACCAACCTCACCTAATTTTGCGCTAATTTTAAAAAAGGAACGTCAGTTTCTTATTAAGAGGGAGCTGAGGAAAAATTCCTAATCTTCGATTTGATTTTTGGAGGGGTATATCCACTTTAAAGTTAAAAATAAAATATTGTATGAGAACTACACGATATATTCAAGCATAGACATTAATCAGAAACATAAAACAATAAAGTTTCCTCGATAGATAAAAATCACGAAATGACCTCTAATTATCACATTTTTTCGATTTATCCTCGAAATGCTATAGATTATTAGGACAAAAATTAGATAATTAATTATATTTATGCATGATCGACAACTGTCACTACGGATTTTTTTTAAATCCCTTTAGTTTTAGAGTTATTCCGCTAAAACGAATTTGGTACTTTTAATGCGCAAAATTCAACATCTCCTGTCGCATGTCACGCGAACTTCAGGCATGTATTTGTTTCACAAATTTGGGCGGAGCCAAAGTCAAAACTTTTTTGGCATGAGAGCTCAGGATTGGAACTCTTAAGAAATAAAAAAAATACTAACAAGTTTTTATTTAACCTTAGATTGGTTACACATGGCAATTTTTAACAGCGATGCTAACTAAGGTAAAATGAAAACTTTTTCGTAATTTTTCTTTTTTTTCTTAAAAGAGTTCTAATTCCTGATGTTTCTTTTTTAAAGTTTGTATCGATGCAGACGCGCGTTGGTAACCGCTCTTAAAGTCACGTATTTTTCAAACCACCCTTCTGTTGTGGTAATTGCTATATATAACGCATAGAATGACAGTTTCATATCAAACGAACACACAAGTGAGGCAAAAATCAAATTCATGTAGGCTAGTTTTAGTAGTAGGTTAATTTTCGGTTTTAGTGAATATTTATATAAAAATACAAGTTGAAACGCGTTACTTCCTTGTGGAATATGATGTTAGTATCTATTTTATGTTTGTCTGACGTATTTTTACACTCATTTACCGCACATTTCGTCATTTTTAGCTAAAATTCTTGAGCTGTTCGCGGTGCAAGTTGACCTTGAGCACTGAAGGCCCGCCCGCTCGTGTAGGCCCTTTGGGAGCGCTTCAATTTGCCTCACTTAGCGTGTGTGGACTAGGTTTCTATACGTTATTATTCTAAGGGTAATTGTTTATTATTATAATTATTATTATGAAGGTGCTGAAATATACAGTTCCGTGTTCGGCCCGTGCTGTGCTTTGGAACGTGCTGTATATACGAAATTCAAATTTGAATGGGATGAAAAACAAGTTTGCGCGTTTCTTAGAGTAAGTAATTAAATAATCATGGCATATTAATGTAAGAATTCAATTATGGACATTACAATAAGTGTAGGCGAAGTCTATCTGAGCGCTCAAAGAGCTCAAAAATGTCTGTATATAAATAAAAGTGGGCCTTATTTCAATGATTTAAAGTAACATGTGCTTTTTAAAAATTAAAAACGGAAATCCACTGAAAACGAGTGATGCATTTTTTATTTCATTGAAACAACGTTATTTTTCACTGAAAGTTAAATTCGTCTGAAAACATTTGAAAGTGCACGTTAAATTTATACGCATAGGGATCAATGTTCAGATATGTTCAAACGCTTTCGCTTAATTTAACAAAAGTCCATTGCTTTTAATGCTTCGTTACGTAACGCTTTTTAACGAGCGCTAGTATCCTAGTGGGAAAACGGTTGTTTTCTTAATTTCTAAAGGTGGATGGTTCAAGTCCCTGTAGCAGCATGTACGTATGACTATTTTATTTATTTTTGGAACTACGTGGCAGACCTTAGCAAATTCATCGCCACTCGAAACTTTATATCGCAAAGATCCGAGGGGAACTTGACTGCCACTGCGTATAATTTGACATGATCAATGTGTCTGCAATTTCACCAGCACCCTTCAAAACCGGAACAAAGTAATACCACTTTACGTCAGCAATAGGTAAGGTGGCCGTACTTCCCTGGGCGAACGCTTTCACAAGTCACAACAGTATTGAAACGGCCAAATGCATTATCTCTTGCGTGCAAGTAATGTACTATTCAAGCAGGTTGATATTGACCTTTTTAACTCTAGTGTTGCATCGGTGAAGTGTCTGAGGGTCGTATACCAGAACTCTACTCAGGTCAGGACTTGAGTATTGCAGTTAGCACTGAAAAACGTACTCAAGTCCTTGCCATTAAGGTCGTATTTCGAGTGCTGGAAATCATACTCAAGTCTGCTCAAATCCTGACTTGAGCATTGAGTAGAGTTTTGGAATACGACCCTTAGTGTCTCAGTGTAGGTAATTACTATAGTAACGGCACGCTATGATGGCCGTTTTGACGTTTGTCCGCTCATCAAGATTCGTATTAATTCATAACTACGTTGAATGAGCTAATTGCTGTATTATATGTATAAATTTATGTAATTTATAATTTTACGTTACAACTCGGCATTTGTTTTCCGAAATTTTTAAAAATGAAATCTAATTCGATCGTCACTTGTGGGATCGCTGGCCAGCACAACATCTACCTCCGGCAAACTCGCGTCAAAGCTCAATGCAAAATAAAGCAGTTTCGAATTGACGATATCTGCCGTCCGCAAACTAAAACGCGATATCATAAAATAATATTCTAGCTTTGCGTCATTAAAGTAAGTTCCAATATGTCGAATACATTAACTTTGATTGTTATTAAATAATTTCAGTACAGAGTACTAAAAAAACCGACCGCAAACGTACGTGGAATTATGTCTATTTGCCAAGTTTTATTGAAATATCCCCTAGTTCGCCCCTATACAGGACTTGACACAGGAGATAATAAAAATCGGTTCTCACTACTCAAATATAATCAAATATAAATAGTATAATGAGAGAAAAACGCCTTGAATTGGAGAATAGCAAAACCAACCACTAAAATAATTGCCCCTTAAGTAAAATTTAGGCGCTATTTATAAAAATGAATCTTCATGCGTGAACAGCCACTCTTAAACGTGGATGATTTTCTTCAAAATGAAATGGGACTACTATGGAGGTACCCTTTTTCTAACAAAAAAGAATCATGAAAATCGGTTCTTAAATACCGGAGATATCGCGTAACATACATACAATAAAAACATACAGTAGAATTGAGAACCTCCTCCTTTTTGACGTCGGTTAATAAACAATTTGGAGATCTATCTGTAAGTTATCTGAAACGGATATTTGACAACTTCTCACGTAGCCGCGTTTTGGTTACTGGACGGCAGACATATTAAGCAAACATTTTTATTTTCCTTTTATTGAAACTTTTTGATCAGCTACCCCTTGCAATACTAGTTCTAAATCTAAAAACTTATAAATGTGACTCGTATTTGATTATATATTTTTCGATAATGAATTGAGATTTGATCATTCACTATTGTAATCTGTCCAAAACGGCCGTCGCGTGCCGGTACTGTAAGTTGTGCGAAAATGTCATTACCTATATAGTGTAGTTACCAGATATATGGTTATAATTTAATGCTCGGTGAGGACCTATAATTGGCTCTAGTAGTTTTTACTCTGTAAGATAGTGTTGGTCTTACAATAAATTAAATTGTTTTAATACTTTACATTGTTTTAATAGGACGAAAAGTTGGTTATTTATTGCAACATTTTAAGCTCGAGTCCCCGGCGAGGATTAAAGTCTCACGAGTTTATAAACACACTTTACACCGCTACAGTTAATAAAAAATCGATCTATCGATAAAATCTACCATACTTCTCTTGTTTAGATTTAGAAAAGTGTAAACAAAGAGGCAGTGATCGTAAACTTTTTTCTTCAACCCACAAATTTTAGTTAAGGAAAGCATAGTGCAAACTGATGACAAATGACATTTAAAATGACACGATTATTTACTTATTGAGCACTGGCTATAAAGCCATCAGCTTATATAGGTAACAAATAATTGAAGATTAATTTGTGTAAAAACTGTAACTACAAACACCAGCTTTTTGCTACATTAGATTCGACAGACGAAAAAATCACAAATGACAATATAATATTTTATTATTTTATTAAAAGTTTCTATCCAATGTTTGGAACCTCTGTTTCTTTACGTTGTTTATAGTGCAAGGCTTTGATATAGATTATGTTTGTAAAGATAGACAATTCACATTTAATCTTTAGTGAATGCTATGATTACAAAAACGTAACAAATACCTACTTAAAGGTAGTAAATATGTTTGAGAATTTTGTTTTACGGTTTTTATTCAATTGCTGTCCTTACAAAATAACTGAACAAAATAGGCGCCAGATAGTAAACTCTAAAATTTTCTTCTGTTTAAAAAAACAAAATATAGTGGTTAATACTTTGCGCTCTATTATATCAAGCCAATAAAATTAAAGCTCTTATAGTAATCCTGATAAAGCTTGTAAGTTCCATTGCCAGTCAAATCCGAACTATGACTATGACATCACAAACTCGGGTTCGATTGCCGAAATTGCCTGGGAGAAATATTTGTATGGCCTACATTTATTTCTTTCGTGAGTGGGGGATGTCTACAAGTGTCCATGGCACCTGCGACATGTCTTTCTACAGCGGTGCTGGAAAAAAATTGTCAATGCCATTGAAGGTCTCAGCTGTCAAAATACGCAATACAAAAAGTTGCTCAATGATTAATTTTTTTTTGGAAAAAGAAAGTTGTTTAGTTTGTTATTTTTTTAATTCTATTGAGGAAAATTAAATTAAAATATAAGAATATGAGACGTGTTCCGTTATCAAATTGCAAACTCGTCACAATCATACATATTATTATGATAATGAGTCAGGTTAGGCCGAAAATCGATATTAGATAGAAAATCAAGGAGTCTAAGCAAAATAGAAAAAATGGCACATGGTCTCTACGAGACAAAAAGTTTGAAAACCTCTGATGGTATCGATACGGTGAGAAGAAGACAGGTGAGATTGCAGCAAAGCATCATGAAAATGTGATCCGTGCTAGTAGGTACTGCTGGAATCTACTGTCTTGTAAAATTATTTATGCAAGACCAACAACTTCACTGCAAACTTCAAAGTTCTCCAGTAGCGTCTTCCTCTTCCATTGTATTTGATTCCAGCTTGCTTGCTGATTTTGTGCGAATTCTGAGAAGTTTGAACAGGATTCTCGCCATGTTGTAGAACTTACTTGAGCAAATTCTGCTGTGGACAATGCGGATATTGACGCAAAATGTCAAATTCACGTAGGTGTTTGTTTGTAATAAACAGGATTAGGTACCTGTAAAAGGCTACATTTGTGAAATTTTCTGAGTAAATAATACTGCAGACATACATTTAGTAGCAGTACCATATTTGAAAGAAAAGAAAGAAAGAAAATACATTTATTTATTTACCACAATGACACCACAAAAGACAAAAAACAAAAAAAAGAGAAAACGGAACAAAACAGAACTAAAACAAAACACGATCAAAACATTCAACGTAAAACAAATATATAATTACGAAACAAAAACTCAAACAAACACAAAATAAAAATGTATATACAAAAATTAGATAAAATTAAAACATGAACTATTGACATAAATAATAAAAAGAAGACTAAATATTGAGATACCTTGTGTGGTGCCAGCCGCGGTAACAAAAGGGTCACAAACTCAGTATTTGCTGGAAAACGCAACTTATATTTATATCACCACACTTGCATTCACGCATATGTAACAACGTACATATTAATTGGTAACCGCAAAGCACCTTGTGAACGAGTGCGGCCGGGGAAGTACTGCCTATGAGGAAGTATCTTACCTATTTCTGCTGCCCAGCAATAATGTGAGCATTACTGTGTTCCGGTTTTGAAGGTTAAGGGTGCTGGTGAAATTACAGGTACATGGGAGTTGTTATCTTATGTCTCAGGGTGACGGGTGTAGATCAGAAGCAGTGCCCCTCAGATCTCTGCGTTTTAACTGCATACGACTTGTTTATTCATAAAACAAAAATTCTATTTTTCACAGGTGCAATGTGACGAGATAGAGGTGTTTGAACGTTTCGTCGGTCATAGTATTCCATTTTTCATGATTTTAGTCGTAAGTTGAACCTAATGAACCTAAATTGTATCAACCATCCGGAACCAGTAAAACAACTGTTACAACGTTCGAAATTTCGGACAATTTGTTTCCCAATTTCCAATAAAATTTGAGGCCTATGTTTATTCATAATTTGTCTTGGAAGACAAAAAAATATATGAGTTTCCGAAAGCCAATACCCGAAATTCTTTTTTAAAGACGGGAATTCCGTCTGTGTCACTTTATAATAAATAATAAGTTGTATTTTGTCTTCACAGACTGTAGTTACTATTTTTTCACATCTGTCAATGCCAAGCGAAATGCCATTAAAACTCGCGGACCATTCTTTAGAACCGTGCTCTTGTAGCTGGCCTTGCTGACTGGTCTTAAATTTCCAGCCCGTATATTAATTTGTAACCTTATTAATGATATGACTTTAACGACCTCGGTGGTCTAACGCTTTGCACTGTCAGCGCTGGATGAAGAGGTCCTGGGCTGGAAAATGGGTTTATTCACAAATGATCCCCTAATCCGGACTCCCTGGTAGATTCGTTTTATTTTATATTATTATCTTGAATAATTATATTTTATTCTCATCAAATATCCCGGTACTTACAAGCTGATTTTTGGTAGATATTGAAGTATAGTAAACAAGAAATAACTTTTAAAAGGTCTAAGAGATGCCGCCAATTTTCAAATTGCACATGTTAATGAATAAAAATTACAGTTAACAAACCCACCACCAAAGCGACGAATAAATGAGACAAATACGTACTGACCAACTTTTGATTGGGAATATCACGTTAGTCACTGTTTAGAAAACTTATATTTTAAATATTACATAAGACTGATTATTCGTTATTTATTTGCAATATGTCAATATTAACGACCTGTCACAAAAAAATTATTGTCTGTGATAAAATTATAACATTAAAATTTGATCATAATTGCTCAATAAACGTATATTTAATTTAAAAAGTTTTTTTTCTCTTTGCTGTACTTGCCTTATAAATACAGTGAGGGGGTCCGTAGGGAATTACCAAATATAGAGTGGATCAGTTTGGATTTAAAATTGGAGGAACCTGGAAAATGAGCCTTCAAAATTTGTTCAGTTGTGGGTGTTCTGAGAAGTGCCTCAGAGTGAATTCCATTGATCTCGTACCCACAATACAGGGAATTCCATAGATTGATACCAGGCAATAGGTATAGTTGTCTAGCACATTATTATATTATTATTATGATTATGTGTTACATTTATTCACTTTGCAGTACAAAAATGAACCAAACGAATGGCGTGTCAAGAGGGTGTTCCTGGGCGTGGATGCCATGAAATTTGAGGCAATGGCCCTCGAAGAGCTGCAGTATTACACTCGGGAACTAAATGGCTACCCTGATGAACGCCATACCTATGCTTTGGACGAAGCCACTCCAGCTGAAATTGTACGTTACATTTGTCTGTTTCAATGAGCATGGACATCGTAAGCAGCGTGAGAGCCTAAAATCGCAAAGACCTGAGGGGACTACCTCCGCACCTATCACCCTGTGACATAAGTAGACAAGTCCCATGTACTTGTGATTTCTGATATTACTGCATGGCGGTAAAAATAGGTAAGGTGGCAGTACTTCTCTGGATGAACTCTTCCAGGTCTAATTGGAAAATAAAAAATTAGTCAACGTGTTTTAATTTCCTACTAATGCAGGTTTGTGCAGATTTTCGAGGTCAATTATTCTTCTTCTTCTTGAGGTGCCATCTCCTACCTCCTATATATTTTAGATACAGCTGCACGGAACAAGTATCTTGTGCTCAGGTTGAACCATGTCCGGAGATTCTTAAGCCACCAAGGAAGCCTTCTCCAAGGTGGTTTTTTTTTGGCCCTGTATCTTTCCTTGCATAATTAGTCGGAACAGTTCGTTATTTAGCATTACGCATTCTATGACAAAAGCACTGTAGATTGCGTTTTTTGACAATACTCAAGACCTCTAATTTCTTATTCACCATATCGATGCCAAAACTATCAATTAACGTAAGGGACGTTTTGTCGAAAATGAGTTACATGTGTGCGTTACGTTACTAATATTTTATGTGTAAACCGTCGAGCATAGTGTAAGCATGAAGAGAAATAGAAAATTACACGTAATTCTATTATAAAGGATCCTTTACAACAGAATTACGTATAATTTTCTATTTCTTCTATTGCTTACACTATACTCGACGTAAAATATTAGTAACGTAAGGCATAACTAAATATCCTTTTTTAATGTAAGGGACATGCTATATTTTAAACCACTGGGCATTTTTCTAAATCTTTCGTTTATAGCATGAAAGAAGAGGGAATTCTAAGAAACTTTGCTCTAGACACAATCAAAATTGGAGCAGACAGTAAAAAGTTATAGACAGTTTAAAAAAAATAAAATCGTTCTTTGGCTCTCCTGAAAAGCCGTAGTTTGTCCCTTACATTAATTGATACTTCTGTTGTCGATATGTAATACTCTTTCATTGGAAGTGTCCATTTGAATTGGATAGTGATCGGTCCACGATATTTTTAAAATTCTTCAGTTGGGTCTACTTCAAAGACTTCTAAACGGTTTGAGTTAAGGTCCAGTACTCTACGCCATACAGAAAGAACCGAAAACACTCAGCAACGTGCCAAATGCACTCTGGTAGGGATCTTCAAGATTCGATTGCACAGTAGATGGTACAACTTCAAAAACTCGTTACGCGCTTGTTCTATCCGACATTTGACCTCCATGCTATGATCACATTTAAATAACGCGCTCTTGTAAATTTCGTGAACTTTAGTTGAACAAGTTCTTTTATTGTTCTTTGAAGTTTATTTTAATGAATGTAATGTAATGTAAAGAACAATAACAAAAAATGATTTACCTTAAAAGAAGACAGTACAAGACACCAGCAGGCATTTGAGATGTGGTGCTGCCGTCGCATGCGCATTGGTGAACACAAAACAACACAAAGGAAGCCGTGCGCGCGTTCATATGTCCCGGAAAATGAAGCCGTCTTTCAAAAGGCACAAAATACAGTATCTTGGTCACGTGACAAGGAACGATAGATACACGCTGCTACAGCTGATAATGATGGGCAAAGTGCAGGGAAAGAAACGCGCTGAGCGAAGGACGAAATCGTGGCAGCGGAACGTCCGGGAGTGGTGTTCCGGTTGGCTGCTGATAGAGACAAATACAGGAAGCTGACGGCCAACCTTCAGGATTGAAGAGGCACTCTTAGAAGGAGAAGAAGAAGAACGAAAATAATTTACTTAAAACACATTATACATATCTAAGTTATATCTTACGTTATTTAGTTGTAAATACTTGGCTAGTACTTAGTTGTTCCTGGAATTTTTGTTAAGCAACGTTGACTACGCAATTCAGAATTCGTGGAAAAAAATAATCGTCAACTCAACAGGCCGGTAACTATGTGTTGATAAGTGCGGTTATGTTTTTTTTTTGTTATCAAGTTACACGCCTGTCTATAGAAGTTACGGTGATACTCACAGCATTAAATCGCAAAGATCTGATGGGCATTGTCACTGCGCCCGTCACTGTGAGATATAAGTTGACAAGTCCCATGTGCCTATAGTTTCGCCAGCAACCTTACCCTTCTAAACCGGAACGCTGCTTACATTACTGCTTGGCGGCAGAAATAGGTAAGGCGACAGTATTTCCTTGGACACACTCTTTCACAAGACGCTCTACTGCTACCAAATCTAACATATGTGTGAATGTATATGTGGTGATATAGATGGTAATATGTGTGGTGATATTTGTGATGTAACGTGTAATGATAATGTCTGTTGCCTCCTTCAGATCATACTTTACGACGTGTTTATTATAAACCCAGGTACTAACAGCACTATGATTGGCGTGATGTGCTTACGTGTAATCGAAGCAATATTATTGCAAGCATAAATACCTACATGCGATTGAGAATACATTACACATACAATAAACGCCCAATTGGTTTCAATTTTATTATTAAGTATATGCCGCGCCACGTATTCAACACGTATGCTTGCATTTATTACTTGTGTATATATGCACTTATGGCTGGTTAACACGTATTAAGTGATTAAATAATTAATTTATGCGTGCAAATCATTGACTTACAAATAAATGGACGACGGGTCTAATACAAAAACCACGAAAAAATGTCTCAAGTCAACCTATTTAAACGTAGTGACATGTAAAGGAATATGAAAAGGCTAAAACGTTGAATTTAAATTGTAATGTCATCGCAGTACTATCTAATTTTGCTTGCTTCGCTGTCAGTCGAACAAACGAAGACTAAAGCGTGAATGACGCTCTGTATACGATTTTAACGCCCTATAAGTTCGGACACTTTTTAGCGCGGACCCGACGTCCATATAATTGTAAGTCAATGGTGCAAATAGTCTTTTAATAGAGCTGTTAAGTAATCGATGGATAAGAAGATAAGTAGATTAGAAACAAACTTGTTTTTTGACGAAATTGACCCTCCCACACCCCGAGCATTCTCCAGTAGGCGTGACTTGAAGTTTGATGCTTTTGATGAGCTAATGCACAGACCACATATGAGCTAGTGTTTTGTTTGCAAAAAGTCAAATAATAAATATAAAATAAATATTAGACAATATCACAAACGTTGCTCTTATTCCACATTAAGTAGCTAAAGCCCTTGTATCAGAAATAACGACAGCACCAAAAAACACCCAAGCCCGAAACAAGTAAAGTTAGTTCTCAACGCTGACCCAAACGGCGATCGAACCCGTGACCTCAAAGATGGCGACACCAAGAAAATCGGTATGCAAGCCACTCGACCACGGAGGTCGTCAATTAAGACAACTATGGTAACCGAATATTTTCGTCAAATTTAAATTGGATCTATACTGAGGTACCCTCCTTCCAACAAAAAAAGAATCATCAAAATCGGTTTACAAATCGCGTAACTAACCTCTTCCTTTTTTGAAGTCGGTTAAAAAATGTCGAAAATGGTCATGAGCACGGACAAAAAACTGCGAGACAGAGGCACCACCTGCAGGTTACAGAGTGTATGGCGCGCTCCCTCTGCCGGTAGACCTCGATGTAGTTTGGGTAGGGAACGGCGCGGTGGTGGTAGTCGAGAGAGGACACAGTCGGTAGATCGACTTTCGGGCTGCACATACATCTTACGTTTCGCCTAGTGCCTATTTTGATCGTTAAAATTAATAGAAACTACTAGTTGTTATTCGATTTCATAGTGATTAAAATATACGTGTGTTTGTTACTATTAAACGTAATCTTATAGCACGATCCCTAAATCTGCCCAAACGATGTCTGAAGATTCAATTCTAAAACATGATGGTCCCGACTATTATAACAAACATTAGTAACATTTTATATTATATGTGTCGGATCTTTCTATTTGGTTTTCAATGACTTTTTAACAGTAGCGCCATCTCTAAGAAATCTATGAAAGTATTTCGTCACCCAGTTAGATACGTTTACAGTTACTAGCCCCGGCTAGAGATGTCACTATTAACTTACTTATTAATTAGTTTTGTTATAATTATTAAAACAAAGAACGAACACTTACAAAATTTTATACATTATATTTTATCAAAATTGTCATAATTATTATTATAGATAATTTGTAAGTACCGCTAACTCGCTAACCGCTAGCTCAGTTGGAATAGCGATAGCCCTGGTTTGGCGGAAATGTCGTTGGTTCAAGTCCAGCTGGATCGAAGGAATTTTTCCTTGTTTATTCGATCTTCGTATCTGCAAGCTGAAGTGGCAGTGGGTTGGCCATATCTGTCGAAAAACCGATAACCGTTAGGGGAAGCGTGTTCTTGAGTGGAGACCACGGCTTGGCAAACGTGGTATAGGACGCCTTCTAGCCAGCCCCATATCTTTCTACATAAGTTTTGTTTATAGTGACCTTCCATATCAACCTCTTGGTTATACGGTAACTATAACTTTATATAATATAATACGGGCACTATAACGAGCATAGGGACCTTCTTCGGTTCTCAAAAGGATGAGCCGCCCCGTGTGCACATACAGCACCCTCCCTATCTCATCCCTATTTTATAGGTACCGGAGCTGTCACTTCCCGTTGCCGCAACTAGTGGTTCCAACGGTTAAGCCGTCGACTCTAAAGTCTACTACCAAATCTCCTCTTTCGAGCTGTACGCATGCTAACCTCCCGACGCTGTAGCGTCTCTTCAGTTGCTAGAAACCTACGCCCTCTGGCCAGGTGAAGTGACGATTTGCTAAGGCTGCTGGGACCGGGTAGATGTGACAAGCAAAAACCTGGCGAAATGGCGCGTATTGGGAGAGGCCTACGTCCAGCAGTGGTCTGCGACAGGATAATGATGATTCTCTTTATATCAATAATAATGTTATTATTGCTACTAATATTATTATTACAGAAATGGACCCAACTTGCGGAATTGGAAAGAAAACAAGAGAAGGTAGACGTGGAAAATCGCCAAGCTCTTCGTCAAGCGGCCCGCAAACGTCATCGAGCTGAACTCATGGTGCCTTTCTTGAAGCATCTTAATTTCGTGCTGTTCTGGCCTCACATGAAGCACGCCCATGTCGAGTTGTATGAAAGATGGGATGAGCACAGTTGAGTATGATTTGTGAATTTTTCACACCTTTAGTCTAATAGGCCACATTTTGAAAATGACAATTTTCTGAATTTTTAAGATTTTACGAAATAAATTAGTTCTAACTTTTTCATGCTTAAATTGGATTTTTCGGAGAGACGGGCGCAGTGGCAGTGCCCCTAAGATCTTAGTGATTTAACTTTTATAGTTTTATATATTTTTTGATATTAAGGTATATTTAGATATATCATTTTTTAAATATAGACATAATAATGGTGGGTCGTGAAGAGCTGCAGCTAGACGAGGACACTGCACGTGACATTCTGTATGGCGGAGACGCGCCAACAAACCCAGCCGCCATGTTTGCGTTGCTCTCTGGTCCTGCGCTGGCTATTTGTTTCAGAGCTCTTGATCAAATTGAATTTGTGCGTTAGTACCTAACTTTTTAAACTCGGAAAGAGGTTTACGTATAGTTGTCGAAGTATTATTTGTACCGAGTAGTCTTATCGCTTCATCTTTATTTTATTTTATTTATTTATTCATTTGCATTGGTAGACACATTTAATTTAAAATGTTACATGCACCCAGTAAGGATATATTAACAAATAATATATAATATAATAAGTCTTATAGTATTATAGTCTAAAATTTAAATAATAATACAATTTTTTATAAAAGAATTAAAATTAAAAATACAATTTGAATGCAAGTTAACGGTTTACATAGGGGAAGCAATATTACTTAAGAGAGTCATCTTCAAAATATTCATTAATAGAGTAATAGCATTTCTATTTAGTATTAACTTGAGTTTATTACTAAATGTGGAGTTTCTTTCTATTGTTTTAATGTGTCAGGTAATTTGTTATATTATATTTTTATTGTTCTATAATGTGGACTATTTCGATACATTTCGATACGGGTTGTTGGTAAAGCTAAGTTTGTATTTCGGCGATCACTTTTAACAATTTCAAAATTGATTGTTTCCTTTAAATATATACAAGGAAGTGAGAGTACATATCCTTTTATAAAAATTGGTTTGCAGCTATTTCTGGGTCACGAATACACTTTTTTCGTATAACAAAAAGATCTTCGGCGTCAGTACTGTATGTGTTCACCCTGAATATAAATGTTTATAAACTATACTTTAAGGAGTAATTTCATGGTAAACGTTAGAACCACTCAAACGGAATATTACTATTAAGTGCAGGAATTGCGGTGTATTAATGCATTTTATTTGAGATGTTTTTGTTGGTAGTACGGAGGGTATTTATTTAGCAATGCAGAATAATAATTTTTGTTTATAAAAACTTGTATTTAAACCGAATGCTTTTCTAATTTGCGAAACCAAATAGCCGCCATTTTGCGGTAGGAGGAGCGCATCGCGTGAGCGGATATACGAATATATGTACTTTTTACGTACCGTAAAATGCCCTAACTTTGCACGGATTTCGAGGTTTTTTTAAATTATTTTGACTTGAGTAGGAAATTCATTTATGACTTGTAAAGAGAAAATGGAAATCAGAACTTTATGCTCTTAGTAAAACAACTTATTATAGCCTACACCTCATATTTTTTGAGAAATAAGCTTTGCAAAACGCAGGCAAAGTAAATGGCATGTCCTCTACTTTGCCTAGGCAAAAATGTCGCAGTTAAATTAAATATTTCCAAATAAGCCGATTTCGTGTCCATAGAGTATTGGATTAGTAGATTAGTTCAACAATGTCCTAAAATCCAAAACGTTTTTCTTTTTTTTCTAGAAGGTAGGCAAAGTTAGGTAGGCTTTTTGAGCATTAAGTACATATGAGTGGAATCTTTCAGGGTTGTCACCATAGGAAATAAAACAACATAAATTTTAAAAACTCAAAAATCATCAGTCTTAATCGTTTTTATTACGCACCTTGGTAACAATTTGTAGTTATGTAATATCTAACAAAAATACTCTTCTAAAATAATATTAATTAAGAAAATAAATCTTCTATCGCAAATGGGTGGATACCATCGCGGACACCGGAGGTGAACCACTTTTCAACCTTAATATTAAGGGAATTAGGTCGAAAACTAGTCTACTTCAAATGTCTGAGATGATACCTACCTATATATTGTAATTAAATTACAATAGTTACCAATCGTTGGTAGTTATGAATTTAGACCCTTTTATAAATCAACACAAGGCGGACAGGTTATCAATAACCAAATTAACAATATAGGTGTATGCTTAAATGCTAAAAACAATTAAACTGCTATCTCACTCGCGCATTGCAGATATAAAATTACTGTTTATAGTTATGGAAAATTGCAAACAACCAAGTCGTAAAGAATAGCATAGGTACATGAAAACTTGTTTTGATCTATCTGATATAAAAAATTGTGCTAAACCCTTAAGGTTTTTCTAACCGCGTGTTTGTTTGCAATTTTCCATTATTATGTACGGTGATTTTATATCTGCATTGAGCGAGCGAGATAGCATTTTAGCTGTTGTCAGCACCATAAAAATAATCAAAAATTACAAACTTAACATGATCAGACAAAATAAATGTTATCTTCATCCTGCATTAAAACATATTCGTCGGGATTTTCATTTATTTGCAAAAGTTCCACTACTTTTAAAATGGAATCTTCAGGGACGATGTCTTTATCAACAATGCGCTTAGGTTTTACAAACTTCTTGTCATTGTTTTTGCCAGTTGTTTTGTAAAAGGCTATTGAGTAACGTCCTGTATTAAAATCTTTATTTTCGATCACTCCTATGTAGTATTTCCACGATTTTCTTACATAGTATCTTGTTAGGACTATGTCTCCTATATTAAACTGTTTCTTATAATTATATAATTCTTCAATAGTGTTCTTGTTAGCCCTTTTTTGTGAAATTTCCTCTGAATCATCAATATTTTGTAATGAATCATTTACCTCACCTAAGCCTTCATTTAAGTTTTCCTTTTCGTTATTAGCTTCTTGTAGCTGCTCTTCTATTGTATTAAACGTAGGTTGCGAAATTTGAGGTTCAAAATCGTATTTCACTAAATCGTCATTTATCACCTCGCTGGACACATCACATATATCTGAATCGTCGTGTTCGCTCATGACTACGTCACTGTCTGTTGTTGTAGAACTGTTTAAAACTCTCCTGCATTTTTTAATTCTTTTGGCTTCTTTGACGGATTGCTTCGAACACAAACGAGACCTTTTGCATTTAATTTTTTTATCAGTAAAGTAAGTTTCCTCTTCTTCCTCGCTACTACTAACGGTGCCATATACGTTTATGTTTGTAATAACTTCTTTTGGGGGCTCATTACGATCTTTTTCAGATTTATGAGATGATGATTTCATTTTGCTATTTTTATCTATTTCAAACAAATTAATGGGAACATTTTTTATACCATAAAATGCTGCGTTTTCTTTGGACCATTTGATATCTGAGAGAATAGTTATCTTTGTACCACTTTTGTCTTGGTTTAATATTTTTGTCGTTGGTGAGAAATCTATGTTACTTTCCTGAATACTATTTTCTTTGTTTGATCTTGAATCCGATAAAAGTGTGACCGGTGAGAGTTTTTCGGAACGGGTAACTTGTTTTTTTTTATTTCTTGTCACTGATTTTTTTGGCTCTAATACTTCTTCCTCAGAAACTGATTTTCCTGCAGTTACTTGCAATTTATAGTTCCTTCCACCTTTCATTGGCTTGTTTTCTCGGGCGGCTTTAAGGTATTCCAGGAGGGTCTGGTCAAATGACTGCTTCATCTGTTCTGTTGGTTCGGGAATTTTTTGAATGACTTTAGAGGCATTTAATGGGTAAATGCCTGCAGCTTCAAATCCGCTTTTTAAATTCTGATTATCACTTATTCCTAATTTTTCCATAAGTTCTTTTAGAAGTTGTGGAAAATGGCATTTATTTATGGTTGTAGCATTTTGGTTTGACAACTTATAATGGAGCATGATTTTTCGCCAGTGTCTTTTCATCGGACCAAAAAATGCTAAATCTAGCGGCTGAGTTAAATGAGTGGCATTTCGTGGCAGAAACACAAATCTTATATTGTTTTCGCGGCATAGCTTTATAATCTGAACGCTTAAATGTGACGATAAGTTATCGCCTATAACTACTTTTGGTCCATCTAAAGCAGTCGCCCAAGGCATAATAATCTTCTCAAACCAGTCTTGAAAGCATGTCATATCAAACCAACCTGATTTTGTTCTATTGTATAGACAGCCTGGTGGACCATCTTTACACCAACGACTCCATAGGTGCTCAGATTTGTAAACTACGTAAGGCGGCAAACATTTTCCGTCAGCTGTACCGGCAAACATAATTGAGACGGAGCTTTTACTGGAGTTAAGTATAACTTCAGGATGCTTTGTTCCTTTTTTGAAAATTGCTTTGCTGCTGCCGGGGTCATCGCTCAGATTGGTTTCATCGTAGTTCAGCAAATGTGACGGTGGTACATTGTGAATTGAGCATTCGAGATTTTTAAAATATTCATTTAACTCAGCAACGGTTTTCGACGCGCGACTTCTTTTTATATTTTGCGTAGTACGTTTTGTCATATTATGACGCGCTATAAAATTACGTGCCCAACGTTCTCCGGGCATCTTCCCATGAAAAATATGCAATTTATCATTAATTTCCAAATACTGAAACACAACAAGTCGTAAATCTAGTAAAGTCAGTGGAGAGCCAAACTCAGCCGCGATATTTATCGTGTCAGCAATTATTTTTTCGTCGACTTCACTTAGTCTTGTAGGACGCCCAAATGATTTTTCATGACATTTGTTGACTTTATTTAAAATAGTACGTCTGGGAATCCCAAATTGTTTTTCTGCCTCATATGATGACAATTTCTTTGATTTTACGAGATCAACGGCAATGTCTAGCATTTCGGTAGAGTAATTCACGTAATGCCGACTATTATTTTTGTTTTGAGAACTGGTTCTTATCTTGTTTTGAGACATCTTCTGCCTCTGCAAAAATCAGAGGCACGTTTTAGACTTCTTGGGTACTTAGGTTTTAGAATATAAGTACCTACCTATATATCTATCTATGTATGTGGTGTGTATATTTCTACCTACATTAATTACCAATGTAAAAATTTGTCAAAAAGAATGTAAAAATATTGTCTAATAGATATTATATTAGGTAGGTACTATTTTAGTTTCAAAATTAAAAGTGACAACCCTACCCCTAGGCAAAGTTTTGTCGATTTTTCATAAAAAACGACACACGATTTGTTCTTCTTGATTTAACCACTAAAACTCGCTTTACAAGTGCAAAATATGGATAAAAACACAGAGGGCTATTTTTCATTTAATACTATGGTCCTTAAAACCCGTAAAAATATTTTAAAATACTTACAATAAAATTTTGAAGTGCAGCAAAAAAGTCACCGGCCACCATTTGAAAAATTCTGACGTTCACTGACATTTGACATCTGTCTTGT